TATAAATTATTTTCAGACCTTCAGTTTACCTTTTGACCAATCGCCATCTCTTACACCTTTTTACTTATTGACCTAGATAGACTATAAACATATTGTATCTGGTTCTGGGCAGTACCTGGAGTATCACTAGTAACTGGAAATAATATATTTTTAAAAATTAGTTTCTAAGAACTTGTACATCATATCGACTAGATTTTCAAAGGTCATATTTTCCATATTTACTTAGAAAGGCATTCTGTTGCCCAGTGACAAAGCTTTAGGCTTCCCTTGAGTGCTCTACAGGGAAAAATGAATTTGCTATTGCCTCTCCACCAAATCAGCCCTCCTTTTTAAGACCCAGCGTTAACCAACTCAAAGATTCTTATTTTGATTGGGACATTGAGCCTGAAATCCCACTTCAGGTGGGAAAAAGAAAAAAGGCAAATCATCAAACATGAAATGGAAAAACCTCTGCCTTTTATCCACATAGAAACCCACAGGACACATTCAGAACAAGCCAAAAGGTTGGCTCACGGGCCTCTGAGATCTGCTTCTGGGAAGAAAGGGAAGGGAAACAATAGAAGCAACCTCTAATAACTTGCAGCCTGACTTGGTGATTTTTTTTCAAATGGCCCTCTTTATAATTTTACTGAGAAAGTTCAACTTGGAGTGTATGGCATCATATCATAAGTTTGTAGGGAAAATCATGCCAAAAATAAAATTAACCTTTGATTCATTTTTGTTATAAAAAAAAAGTACATACTATTTTAATGTATATGTGTTAACTACACACAAAAATAAAGCTATATTCTATAAGGTTGATATTAACAAAAACAACAATTGAATTCATGCAATGCTTTGGAGTTTGTTTTTTTTTTTTTAGGAATAATATCAATTAGAAGGTTTTAAAAACATGTTTTCTAACCTACACTGGAAAAGGAAGAGCCAATTTACTCATTATGATCATCAATTCTAGCTTTTCATAGTCAGAAAATTAGTGCACTGGGGTTTTTCTAGAGAGTCCAGGGCAAGTTCAGATTTTTCTCACAAGGAAAGGCAATGCTAACCAAACCTGGCTCTCTGGGCCCAGACACTGAACTGTGTTCTCACTGGTATTACCCAAAGCCTCTGAGGAAACATAGCTAAGAAGAAAAACCATCTAAGTGCACGAAAGAGGCATAGTCATTTAATGAGTTCCAGAATTCACTGTGTCCCACTTTGACACAGTTTCCTACAGCTAATCAAGTAATAATGATGGTCTCACTTAGAGTCATTGATACTTAACTGCGGATATTTTTTTTGCACCACCTCATGACTCTTCAGCATAATCCTGAGAGATAGGTACTATTATCCCCATTTAACAGATGAGGAGGCCAAGGTTACTACAGGGGGATGACTTGCCCAAGGTCACACAGTGAGTGGCAGATCAGAGATTCACACTCAGCTCTATCTGACCCCAACCCCACACTATGAATTCTGAATCTCTATATTTTACTGCCTCTCTATTTCTACTAGGTGACTTCCTTTTAAATTAAAGAGAAAAGTTTTTCTCTCTGCCAAACTGCAAAGTTTTCTGAGGATAAGAGTCAAATTCTACGCGATGGCTCGTCTTAATGACAATTAAAGCGCAAATGCAGGTTCTAAGCTCCTCTAAAGAATACCATAAAGAGATACCTGCCTTGCTTGTCTAAAGAGTCCCACTTCTAACCCAGAATTTAGGCAGTTTCACAACAGGGAGCTTCAGGCCCAGTTCCCTGCCACCAGGGGCATTCTTAAACTACCTCACAGATACTGGTTTTGTAAGAAATAGAAGGGAAACAAAAAGGGAGAAATTATGTGGCCGTCAACCTGGAGTTCTGTCCTCTGGCAGTACAAAAGCAAGAAAATTTATTCTTAAGCTCCCCGAGCACGTATAAATCCATAACTTCCCATGGTTTATAGACTTGCCATCCTTTCTCTCCCAATACCTACCAGCATCCCCAATTTCCAGCGCAGCACAGTGGAGCAAGGAGGCGGCTCTCGGTGGTTTCCTCGACTTACGATCATCCTACACACCTCCTAACCAGGAGTGGCAGAGACTATATCCTCTCTCTGCTTCTACTTTTGAAATGGAAGCACCCCCTAAATAGTGGTTACCTGAAATAAACACATTTGCCACACGTTCCCTTGCAATTAGATGTGGGTATGTGATTAAGTCCTAGCTAATAGGATACAGGCTGAACTATCTTGAGCAACTTCCGTAAGTGACACTGAGGACACCTGCCTTTTCTTACCCCTTTCCTCCTTCCTGCTGGCAGAAAGAAGAATGTGATGACTGGAGAGTCTAACCTCCTTCTTAGACCAAAAGATAACTGTCATTCCCTAGGGATGGTAGAGCAGAAAGCTGAAAGGAACCCAAGGCCCTGGGCTCTGGGCTGCTGACTTAGGGAAGAGAATAAAATCTTATGTGTTAATATTTTGTATAAACTGTGGATTCTGTTTTAAGCAGATTCACTTTCAGAGGAAATATCTGGCACCCAAAATACTCAGTTAATAAGGAACTCCTTTATGGTTCCAGAATTAGTCTCAGGCAATGGCGAGTACCAGGGATAAACTTGCCTCCTTCCTGGATGTCCCCATTCTAAGCATCTCAATTTCAAGGACTGCCAATGTGCCCCACTCCCTCTCTTGCTCCTCCCTACTCCTGCCCAAATGGAATCCACTGTTGAAGAAAGCAGGGACACAGGGTGACTAGATATTCACAGCTGGATTTGGACTCTTACCTGGCAGCCAGTTCCATAGCAAAGCAACCCTGCAGAGCCAGACTTCTCTCGCTCCACCTGCCCCACCATTGGGATGGTTTGGGGACAATTATAAGAGCTGATATTTTCAGAGTGCTAACTCTGTGCCAAGCTAACTCAATGCCATGACCTGGAGCTGCTCAGCAACTCTAAGGTAGTTACTGTGATCGGCTCTGTTTATGCCTAGGAAGTCTCAAAGCCAGGATTCAAACTCACAGGGACTTGCCTTGTAGCCTGTGTGCATGCCCATTAGTCTACACTGGCTCTGGCGAGAGGGGGAAGAGAAAAAGAAAGATGATTAAAAAATAATAGACACTCCTATCTCCAAAGTGGCCACATTTCATTAGAAACTTGAATTCTGCCTTTTTCTCACAACGCTGGAAAATTCCTATCATTGTCCAGGCTCTGAATTAAAGAATCTCCTGCTCCAGATGTGGCATGCCCCACACATTCCAAAGTGACCTTCCCAGCCATTAGCCACAGCAGAGCAGGTGGCTAGGAGACCTGTGGTAAAAATGGTTAAAAATCACCCCCGACCTAGGCAAGAAACAAAGACAGAAACCAATTGATGGAAGTGAAAGGCAACCTCAAAGAAGATAGAACACGTTCTGCCACCAAGACACCAGCAGTGTTTTGTTTGAGGGTCAGACAAAGTTCTAGAAAACAATCCAAACCGTTTGCACCGAGGCCTAAGTTCTTGCTACTTAAAGGGATTTGGGGTGTTCTCTGGTGTGGTGTAGAGGTTTCAGATCTTGGTAAGAGAGGGTGGGCAGGTCTGCAAGGCTCCCCGGCTGACCCCACCCCGGCTCAGATCTCAGGGGAGAGCATGTGTGTCTCAGAGGAGTGCAGTCCCATGCTGCGAGCAGGAGGGCATGCTGCACCACGGACAACGCCACCCACACTCACCGGGGATCACTCCACTTTCCCCTGGAGGGTGGAGGTGCAGCAACAAAACTGTCAGTCAGTGCTAAATCATCTCTCAGACTCTTCTACACCCAAATGTTTTCTTCTGATTTAAACCCAGCTCACCAGAGTGGCCAATGTGCCCCTAAGACACAACACCCCAGAAATGTGCCATTTCTCACCAAACTCAACTTTGCCAGGCCTAAAAGTGAAAAACAAAACAAAACAAAAAAACACACAAACAAAGAAACTTTCCAGATCAGAATTCGCAAATTCAAATGCCTACAGAGGCCAGAAATGGGTGAAGCAGCTCTAGCTGGGATCAACTGAGATAAAATGGTGAACACCTGCCCTGTCTATGAAAACAGCTGCTCTCAGCTGCAAACCATTGTTCTAACGTGAGAGCAGGACCATTTCTCAGCAAAGTTGGAGTTAGAAATTCACATGTTTATGTGAAATTGCCCCGTTCTATCTAAACTGTTGACATCAAATTCACAAAGTAAGACATCCTAAGGGCTAAACAGGTCTACACGTAATGGGGTCCCAGAGAGCCAATTTTCAATCCATCTTTCAGACATTAGCCCCAAAGACGGCTGAGGCCACCTTACACATGATCAAAAGTTACCACTCGTAGGTTTGGCATGCCTCGGTAGAATAAAGGATTGCAAACCAGATGCAAGGACTCAGGTAACCAGTCACTTGGAGTCCTTCCTGTATCTACCCAGAAGCTAGAAAAAGCCATTTAAACCAGGATCCGAGAGGCACCCCATCTGGAACCATTTCTTTCATAGAGGGAGGAGGCCCAGGGGACAAGCACAGTTGCCTTTCTAGGGGATGCACCATCTGCAGAGGAGGCAGCCACCTGCGGAGACCTCTGCCAGGCAGGGAAAAAGGTAGAACCTCACTCCGTGAACCCAGGAAGAACCATGACCCCGGGACAGGGCAGGGATTAGGGAGGAGGGGTCCTCCCAGAAACTGCCCCTAGAGACACTTCCACTTAAGCGGGACTGTCCATGCCAGGACAGATTCAGGAGACCCGTTTTGACTCTTCCCAGGCCGGGAAGGGAGAAAGGGTGGATGTGCTTCCCAGCTCCATGGGCCTTTCCTGGATGGAGCATCACTGCCCCTTACTGGAACACACACACACACACACACACACACACACACACACACACACACACACCTTAAAAGGACCTTTTGTGGTGAAAAATTCCGAGCCTGGGAGGTCACTCTGAAAGATGTGATTCCTTCACTCTCTGCCTCACTCGGTCACTTCTATAAAGTCTTTTCCCCCTCTCTTCCCACAAACGGCATCCCTGAAGCCCCAAAGGCTCCTACCTTGACACTGGAATCCCTGCTTCCCGAAGCCCCTGCAAAAGCAGAAAGACGCGTGTCAGGCAGCCTGAGGGGCCCTGTCACCAGCTAGTTCCCCCACAGACTCACCCCTTCCCCCAGCCCTCTACCCCAGGTGCAACCTCCCAGCCACAGGCGGGTGCCCAAGAGTCTTCCGCCTTTGGGCGCTTTTGTGGGAGCTCAGCGGTAACCCCCATCTCCCCTCACCCCAACAGAAGGAAGGAGGCTGCGACCACCAGATGGCGGGATGGGGGCAGAGTTTCCGTCGGGGTGGGGGTGGAAGGCAGGCGGAAGATCTGCCCATAGAGATGCCCCGAGTACGCTCGGGGAAAGAGAAGCGATAGAGACGCATCCAGAGGGAGGCGGGGGTGTCCCCTGGGGGAATAGGAAGGGAGAAAGGATGCCCCACGCCTGGAGGGACAAGGGGCAGAAAGGGGCCCGCAGCAATGTGAGGGGGGAGGACCGGTGAGTGGAAAGGGAGACCCAGGCCCTCAGGGAGGCGCAATAAGAGATAACAGAGGGCGCTGCCCACGAGACACAGAGGAGGAAAGGATGCCCCATGCCCGCAGGGAGATAGAGAGAGGACACCAGGGCGCTGCCCCCCAGAAAGGAGGGGTGGGGAGGAGGGAAGGGAGGCGGAGAGATAGGGAAGCCCGGGCGAGAGGGCACCCGAGGCGCTGCCTTCCTGGGGAGGGACAGACACTGGCACTCTGAGCCAGGTGGAGCAAAGGCACCCGCGACACTGCCCCTGGGCGCTCTGGAGGCGACTGGGAGTAAGAGAGGGCAGGAGCGCCTCGCGGCCGGCCGTCTGGGACCAGGGGACAGGGGACCCACAGGACTGTCCATTAGGGAGTCTGGGGCGGGAGAGTCCGGATCGGGGAGCCCCGGGACTCGCGGGATCCCCGCGGGGCTTCTTTCCCTCCGGGGCGCGGAGGGCGCGGAGAGGGGGTCCCCGCACGCGGCGGTGCCCTCGGGGGCCGCGGGCAGGTGCCGTGCGCCGGCGCGCGCTCACCAGATGAAGTCGGTGCAGTGGCTGCAGAAGGTGGGCTGCTTGAAGAAGCGGGCGGTGAATTTGTGGTTCTTCACCTCGTGCACGTTCTTCTGCCGGAGGGCGCCTTTGCGGGCGAAGCGCACGGTGCTCTCCTCGCCCTCGCTCGGCGGCGGCCCCGCAGCCGGGTCAGCCATCTTGCGCGCGGGGAGCCGGAGCCGAGAGGTGCCGGCCCCGGGGCGCGGGACCGCGGGCTGCAGGCCCGGCAGGCGCGGAGGAGGCGGCCGCTGCTGCCGCCCGGGGCCGCGGGCGCTTCCCCTGCGCCGGCTCTGGCGGCCGCGGCGCGCGGAGCTGGGGCTGTCACTCGCCCAGCTGCGGCCGCTCGTCCAGCTGCGCTTGGCACCGCTGGCCCCAGCTGCGGGGGAGGGAGGAGGAGCCGCGGGTAGACACCGCCCTCCTCATTTGCATCGCGCCCAGGCCCCGCCCAGCGCCGCCAGCTGCTTTACATATTGGCACCCCAGCGGCTGCCAGCCTCCCGGAGAAGTGCTCCCAGCCGCAGCGCTGCGGCGCGGGGACCGCAGCCTGCGTTCGTCAGATCTGAGCCTCGCCCCCCACCCTGTCCTCGGCCCCGGGTTGCATTAAGGAGATAAGCACGTTGGGAGCCCCTCGGGAGTACCGAGAGTGGAAGGACCCACGGGGGTGGTTGGAGGTAGTGGTGGAAGGGGTGGGCGCCACGGATTCCACCCTGGCCCCTGCAGAGGGACCAGTACCCATCCACCCCCCATCCACCCCATTGGTCATTCTGCACGCGTCTGCTGGAGGGATGGGCTCCCGCTGTCACTCATTCGGAATAGCTTGTAGTTCCACACACTTACACACACATACACACACACGTTCTGCAGAGGTAGGGGAGGAGCGATCTTTATTTTGTATATGTCTAACTCCACCACAAAGAAGATTCTTGGCTTTGCTTGCCTGCACATTTAGAAGAGAACTCCTTATCTTCTGTCCATCCTCTCCGCAAAGAGACTCAGTTTCTCCAAGTGTAAAATGGAGCTAATAAGGGGAGAAGGAGGGAAGAAATTTAAATAGATCAATATTTCTCCAAATTTCATTCATTCTCACTCATCTTCACAAATTCTGGTCATATTTGTGCACCATCTAAAAAAAAAAGTCTATCTGGTTTGATCTACTGAGTTTGAATAGCAAGAGGTATTTATATTATTAAAATCTCTCCAGGTGCTGTCATCTGCCCAAAGCATCTGTGACTGAGGCCTTCTTTTATTTGTTAAGAGAGGAAATTAACAAATGTAAAATACACATTAATATCCAACGAGGACTCTCTCATTAATGGAATCTGAAGGTAACTAACAGGGTAATAACCGTCTAGATGGGTAATTCGGTGCTATGTAGTGCCCTGTCCATGCACTGCGCCTAAACACCCCCAACCCCGCCATGTCCCCGAATCTGGGAACCCAGAGCTGCATTAGACTGTGAGCTCGGTAGCTGGATCTGGGCTCTGTGAGAGCAGGGAGCTGCTCACCATAGTGTCACCCTGCACCAAGCTCAAGGCCTGGCACTCCTAAGAGCCCAATAAATATTGGTTGAATGAGTGAGTGAGTGGATGAACAAGTGCGTGAATGAAGACTTAAAGGACAGCACCACTTACCCCCACCCATGCCCAGTAGGTGTTCCACAATAAACATCATTGCTTGATGGCTATCAGGTACTTGCATTGTCTTATTTAGCACCCACCCCCCAACAACCCTATTGCAGATTGGGTAACTTTCTTTATGGATGGGCTGCTAAGGCTCAGAGCGATTAAGATATACACCCACAATCATGCCGTTGCTGAGTGCTGGTTGGGCTCCCCTAACTACAAAGCATACTGGTGACAAAGGGATCAACCTGAGTAGTGGGGGACGAAGGAGTGCGGGATGGAGTTGAATGAGCTCAAGTCCCACTGTGACAATTTTGCCTGGAAGCTGCTGAGTGGTAAGTCATTATTAGGTAGCACGTAGAGAGCAAGGGCTCCAATAAGAGAATGTCCCTCTCCTACACAGTAATTCAAAGGTAATAAGGAAAAAATAGCATTCACTTTTAAGGTTGGCATGTTTGGGAAACTGGATGTGCCTGTCTATTATTAGTCCTTTAAGAGGCCCCACCACCTCCCAGGGAGGCTTGGGAAACATCCCTGGAGACATTGCTGCTGAAGTAGGTTTCCTTTGAACTGATGAGCTGGAAGCTCACAGCCCACATCCTGCCTTTTGAATGAAGTGCCCTGAATGACTTTGGTCTGGAACAACAAACAGTACCTCATGGCGCCTGGGCCTGGAGATGCGAGGGCCGGAGGATCAAGAAGAGACGCTGGGTTCCTGAGGAGGCTGCACCAACTGAGGATGGGAAATGCGGTTCCCACTGGACCCAGATCCCTGTAGGTCAGGGGTCTTAAACTGGTGACCTTGGGATACTCTTTGTTAGCCAGCCCAGTGAATTTTTTTTTAGTTCACATATCATAGAATTTTACCAAATATCCAGATTCTGACTTCTCTAGGAGAAAAGATGTGGCTAAATGGAGCCTGCTTTCTGTATTCATTCATTCGTTTGTTTATTCAATCAACAAATGCTTATTGAGCACCTACTATAACTGTTGTTCCAGACACTGCTATATATACCAGACAAAAGTCCCTGCCTTCACAGGGTTTATAGTCTAATGGGGGTGGTGGGGAGGGATGGACAAAAAACCTAATCGACTCGCAAATCTCTATTGAGTGGTGTAGAGATTCATGGTGTAAAATAAAGCATCATAAAGACCAAAGAGTGACAGTAGCCAGGGAAAAATTTGTGATAGGGGAACACCTGAGCAAATGCCTGAATAAAGCGAGGGGGTGAGCCACAGGGACTACCTGGGGTAGAATGTTCCAGACAGAGAAAACAGCAAATACAAAGAGCCTTGGGAAGGATCATGCTTGGCATGTTGTAGAAATTGCGAGAAGGCCTCTGTGGCTGGAGTGCACAGAGAGAAGACAGCGCTTATGAGATGAGGTCGGGAAGGTGGCAGGGCCCTGCAGGGCCTTGTAAATGTGGTAAGGAGCTTGGATTTCACTCCAGTGCACGGAAGCCACTGGAGGGTGGGAAGCAGAGGAGTGGCCTGATATGACTTCTGTTTTTTTAAAAGATTATCCTAGCTATTATGCAGAAATAAATGGTAGAGGAGAAAGAGTGGAAGAAGAAAGAACAGTGAGGAGGACAATTGAGTAGATGAAGCAAGAGATGAGGCCACCATGGCATGGTGCCTTGTGGAGCTACGGGGCAGAGCTCCCTGTAGACTGGGCATGGGCCCCCCAGGTCACTAGAGCCCCCACCTGGGCCACTCTGCCCATAAAGGAATGAACGCTGGCTGCTTCAAAGACTTCAGAGGCAAGATGAGGCAGGTTGCTCTGGCCGGGAATGGAGTCCAAGGTCTCTTCAGTCCAGACCTATGGCTGCCATAAGAAATTATCACAAAACTGGGTGGCTAAAAATAACGGAAATGCATTCTCTCATAGTTCATCAAGGTATCAGCAGGGCCACCCTCCCTCCTGAGGCTTCAGAGGAGAATCTTCCTTGCCTCTTCCAGCTGCTGGTGGCCGTCAGCATTCCTTGGCTTCCTTGGCTTGTGGCAGCATCACACCCATCTTTCTCTGTCTTCACATTGCCTTCTCCTCTGTGTGTCTCTCCTCTCCTCTTCTGTTTGTCTAATATCACCTGTATATCTCTTATAAGGACTGGCCATTGGATTTAGGGTTCACCCAGGTAATCTGGGATGATCTCTTCATCTCAAAATCCTTAACTCAGTTACATCTGCAAAGAGCCTTTTTACGAATAAGGTAACATTCACAAGTTCCAGGAACTACAACATGAATATATCTTTTGGGGGGGGCACCATTCAGACCACTACATTGCACAACCCTGGCGAGTCACTCCCTCCCTCTGTGTCTCATTTCCCTCCTACATAAAAAAGAAGAGAGATGGAGTAGTTTGCCTTCCAACACTCTCATTCTAAGGCTGTATTCTTCCATACAGTAGTCACTAGCCATCTGTGGCCACCGAGCGTTTGAAATGTGGCTAGTCTGAATTGAGATATGATTGCAAGTGTAAAATATATCCTAAATTGCAAGCATGTAGTATGAAAAAGAATGTAGAATACTCCTAGATAATATTTATGTTCATTGCATATTGAAATTATAATAGCTTTGATATATTGGGATAAATCAAATTTCTCTCTAAAATTAATGTCACCTGTTTCTTTTTACTTTTTGTAAAGTGGCTACTAGAAAATGTAAAATTATACATTATGTTTCTTTGGGTTCTAAAGAACACGTGTTAAAAATATTAAATTAATTTGAAAACTGGATAATATAAATAAAAGCTCATCTCTATTCCATGTGGCGACAGCAGTGGCGGCTTAACTGGAGACTGGAGTATCCAATTGCAGGACTCTCATTCACATGGCTAATAGGTTGGTGCTGACTGTCAACTGAGGGTTCACCCAGGGCTTTGGCCAGAGGTGTTGGTTCCTATTCACATGGGCCTCACCACTGGCTACCTGGGCTTCCACCATTGCATGGTGGCTGAATTTCAAGAGTGAATGTCCCAAAAAATAGGAAGTGGAGGATGACAGTTTCTTAAAATCTGACCTAGAAACTGGCACAGTGTCATTTCTGATATATGATATTGATCAAGCAGTCACAGAGCCCATATTCAAGGGGAGACCCTATTTCTCAATGAAAAGAATGTGAAAGAATTTGGGGGCCACACAAGAGGAGATCAATAAATATTTGTTGAATTAATAAAATGCCACAATTTCTGTCCAATATAAGAGGAAACAGAAGCTTGGAAAAGTGAGTATTAAGGTTACTCTAGAACTACAACTAATTGTAACTAAAAGCTAATATAAGAAACAGAAAAATATGGCCTATTCAAAGGAATAAAAAATCAACAGAAACTGTCCCCAGAGAATGACCAGATGGTGATCCTAGGAGACAATGACTTTAAAACATCTGTCTTAAAGATGTTCAAAGAACTAAAGGAAGATGTAGAGAAATCAAGAACACAATTCATGAACAAAGTGGAAAATCAATAAAGAGAGAAAACCTGAAGGGAAACCAAACAGAAACTCTAGAGCTGAAAAGTACAATAACTGAAATGAAAAATTTTTTTTTTAGAGAAGGGGTCTTGCTTGTTGCCCAGGCTGGCCTCGCACTACAGCTGTTTCCTGGGCTCAAACAATCCTCCTGCCTCAGCCTCCCAAGTATGACTCACTAAAGAGATTCAAAGTCATATTTAAGTACACGGGAAG